GGGGGGGGGGGGGAGGACGAAGACGGAGAATTCTGGTTGTGTTACGATAAGATTTACCTGATCTCCACATAAGGCTCAATCCGTAATTTTTTTTCTTTTTTTGATCCCCCTCTCATTCACTGGCAGTCAATTTTCTATTGACCCTAAATACTCTGTTTCCGACGACTGACCCCCCTTCTTCTAAAAACTAAGTAACTCTTCCCCCCCAAACAAAAGGCTCTCACCACCCCTCCCCCTGTCCAGGTGATAAATAATTACTGGTTGCTTATTACTGAAAGATTTCGTGAGCAATACGAAAGGGAAAACAAGAACAGTCGATGTTGCAACGTCGCACACGTCGGTATAAAACATGTTACATTTTAAATCAAAGATAAAATATTCTAAAACCTACATAAAATTAATGTTAAACTGGCTTTTTCAAGGGAAGGATGTGTTCAGGTCTTTCTGCATGCATGCATGAGAGGTACCTTTTGACCTATATTTAAATATGACTTTATCAAGGGTCAGAGATAAACATTCTTCGTAATCTTACGTAAAAAATAATGGTAAATTTGCCTATTCAAGGATGGAGTTTGTTCACGTCTTTGTACCTGAAAGGTACCCTTCACCTATTTTTAACGAAATGGTGGTAACTTTATCAAGGATCAAAGATGAACTTGCAAATTTAGAAATACAACGATGTAAATTAATAGTCGCGGATTCCAAAGTGCAACCATTCTCTTGAGTGTTTGTTTATCTGTTTTAAAAGTATTTGCTTACGATTTTTGCTTCATCTATCTTCTTCTACCTGAATTTGTGTCTTCAAATCCCTAAATTGAACATAGTAAGTCTCCTTTGCAGGTGCTTTCTAATTGCTTGTAAATCAATTGAGAGAATTTGGTTTTAAATAGGAAAGCACTTTCATATTTGTACGTTTGTCTCGTCAACTTTTTTTTTTTTTTTTTTGATAATGTATTGATATGGTAAAGAGAAATTACATCATGTTCCTTGAAAATGAGAATATTTGCTTCTAAAATCGCCAGAATTGGACGCACTCTTGACAAAGTGTAGAGCACGTTTCTTTATTCAAAGACCGAACTAAATTTGCTCCGCAGCCAGTCAGTCATTCCAAGAATTTACAAGGTTAAGTGAATTTTATTCAGCAACAATTTTATTCCACACGGAATACTTTCCATTCTGATGTACTTAAAAAAAAAATTAAGGTTTTTACAGGTTTCTTTTGTCTCTGTTTGTAACAAAACGTTTAAAATAATGAACTCATCATTGTCTTGACCGACTTGGCGGACTATATCTTCATCCTGTCTGAAGGCGTCAAAACTTTTCTCATTGAAAATTTGCCCTTTGGATTTACTTTATTTCTTAATGCAGAGAAGATAATGATTTCAAGGGACTGTTTAAAGAAAACAGCGATAAATGTATTCTCTTGAGTATAATGTGTTCTCTTGAATGTGTGAAGTGTTTTCAGTAGTACACGTGCAATTCCATAGTTATGCTAATTTTCTTGCCATTACCGCCATCGTTTGAGAAAGGCTTCTTGCGCCTTCAACATTCTGTCATGTGCGCCCATGTTCTTGCAATTTTTCAACAGTTGGTCGTATTAAAGTTAATCACTCTGCAATATTCGACGTCTGAACTTAATAGGAAGGCGTAGAGGTAATTCTAGCTTCGTAAAATTTTACGTGATAAAGATCACCTACCTACTTGCTCGAATGACTGATCCCCAGCACAACAGATTAAAACAAAGTGAACCAAAATCACTGTATATAGCGTTTTCTTTGCTAACATGGTCCTCTTAAACCAAAGAGCACCTTCAAAAACTCTTAGGTGTGTTCCAGAGCACTTTTGGTGGTGTGTTGCAAGGAAAACAAAGCATAGCTGTTAGTTCTGCTTTGTTTAAAAAACGGCGGCACTCAGACCACCACAAACGTTCGTGCCTAAGTCCGGGCTGAGATCTCTTTGAGGTCTTGCGCTTGGGAATTTGGGTCATGGAATCGTGCCAAGATGTTTTTACAGCTAATCATAAAAGAGTGCGCTGGTTTGTTCATAAAAACTAATAATTAATGGAGAGGTTAAGAGAAATATGGGCTAAGACTGAAAAATCAGAGGTAAGAGACAGTAAAAAGTTGGTAGTTGATGAAATAGATTATTGATTAACGTAAATTAGCCAGTCATTAAGAAGCGATAAACACATCTGAATCGATAATCAATCAATATGTTGAGCAATTGGTCAGTCAATAAGACACTCAGTCAATCAGCCCATTAAATTATCAGTCAACAACTTTTAAAAGGTATTTTTTTCCTTTTCTTTTTTTACAGGGAAACGTTACCCAATCTTTGTCTGCTGTTTTCCGGTGTTAGCGATATTAGCCCAACCAAAAGTACGTTCGAATAAATTAAAAGTCAAAATCGTTATGAACCAAAACTTCATGACATCACTCCGTTAAACTTTGACAACTTTCTGGTTGCGATCAGTGTACTTTAATTTTAAAAATCATTAAAGGAATCTTCAAGTATTCTAAAGCGCTACAAATGACATTATAAGTTACAAGAACAAACTCATTCACCTTTGCGGCCATACGGCCATGAAACGTATGAGAGGCAAGAAGCTCACTCTCGACCAAGCGCCTCCCTTTCTAGTTTTCTGAAGTGTTTATTGAAATGGACAGAAAAGGATTGCGCGCGTGTTTTTTTTTTTTTTTTTTTTGTAATATAGCAAACACGTTTAATATGGCATAGAGCAAACTCGGTGATTTCAAGACGTCCCATGTAAAAAAGGTATCATCATATATTTTCGATCATTTATCTTGTTGCATTTTGCAGAAGCTACTGTCCTGAAAATTTGTTGTGGCAGTCGGTTCATTTAAAAGTTTAGAAGAAGTCCTTAGATTGATATATCTGAGGGAAAAGTTTTTATGGTTTGAGATAGAATTATTACCCTGAGTTCTTTATATCATTTTGAAAATCGATTTTGAAAGCTTGTCTGAAGCTTCCCATGATATATTCCCTCTGTCAAGCCGTACATTATAAGTTCATTAACGGTAAATATTTCCCAACTGCTTATGTTATTTCCAACAGCTGCTTTTTGAAGTACGAATTTCTTTCTAGGAATAGGAAGCCACTGAAGAGAAAGTGTGTAATCTGGAAAAATATGGTATCAAATTACTGCACTTGAGACAGTGAACAGCTTATCGTTAAGCCCTGTGTCCGGCCTCAAAGGAACACCTTGTCAAACAAATTCACCGCTATCACAACATGTTTTTCGCGAATGATTACTTCGCCACGGGATCACCTTACTGAAAAGCAACAGGCATCAAGCCGATGACGTAAGTAAGAGAAAGATCAACTCTTGAGGAGAATCGCTGATGACGGACACTTTTTCCAATTCTTTGATATTGACAATGGCAGAAAAGGAGGAAATTTTCTTCTGGAAAAAAAAAAGTCACGGAACTTGCTTATTAAAAGTTACCTTGGTTTGTGAGCTTCTGGGTCAACATATTTATGCTAACCATGTTTAAAGGTTTGGGTACATACTTTTCAGCTTAATATCGCCAATGAAAAATAAATTAGATCATTTCGCCTTTTTTTAAACACATTGTAAAAATTCTTCCAACTATCGGTTGTTCTTTATTAAAAGTGTTGATGTTGGTGCAAGTATTGTCTTGTATGGTTAATAACAAAAGTATAATATTTTACCGCTTATGCTGTAAATAATACTATTTAGCATTGTAAAGATATTAGTATTGTCACTAGCTTCAAACTGCTTGTACGTATCATAAAATGAATAAAACAAATTAAATAATCGTCCACGGTCTCAAACAGGGCTGCGATAAATAAACAAACAAAAACGAATAAGTTAAAAAGGGAACTTTGGATCTACGCGTAATGGATGCGAATTATGTGAATATCAAAGAAAGAGCGCACTTCCACTTGGAAGTCATAGGTCAAAACTCAAAAAGCGCCTGCTAAAATAATTAATCCTGTGTTCTGAATTTTTTTTTGTCAAAAAACTGCTACTTGATTGATGTCGGTTTATAACAAAGTTCAGATATAACGCGTGCTGTCATTGGTTGAAAGGGCGTGCTCTATCAGAGTATAGAACATGGAGTTGAAGGCTGTCACGCCATCTGTCAATTTGTAACATAGCGGAACAAATGCCGAATGGGTTTCCGATGGGTTTTTATTCGACCCAGAAGTCCTCTAGACCTAGAAGACGAAAGAGAAAACGAGCTGTTAGCTTCGATCGATTTAGAGGATACTGTCAATGACAATACGACCTACCCTTTAACTGAAAGTGAGGTTTCCAACAAAGTTAATTACGAAAACAATGAGCGCGGCGGCAATTTAAACAGGCAAAGATTTGAAAACATGTCAAGTGCCGCAATAGACGAGATAATTGTAAGAGCAGAAACAAAGAAAACCAAACAATCCACCAATNAATTAGGTTGCCCATTCTAACAAGGATTCTGATTGGCTTATTGTAAGCGTGCTCTGTCAGAGTATAGAGCATGCTGACGACACTGTTGTTCGCTTTGAAAATAAAGTTTGTTTGGAAATTGCAAGTAATGTGTGGGGAATTTAACGGATTCTTTATTATAAAACAAATAGAGAAGCCTTGACTGTGCTCTGTTCTGTAGTAAAGCACTTAGGAAGCGGCTAGAGCACTCAAGAAGTGGGGAGAAACACTCGACTACGTCTCGTGTTTCTCCTTACACTTCTTTCGTGCTCCAGCCGCTTCCTGCGTGCTTTACTACAGAACAGAGCACAGTCAAGGCTTCTCTATTTGTTAAGAAGATAGTGCGTCAAAGAAAAGTAGCAGAGCGCTGCAGCGCATAAATGCAAACTGTTTCCAATGTTGCTACTTAGACTTGCTAAAGAATGCCTTTGTTTGTATACAAAATTATGTTAAGTTTTACGCAACATGCATGTGATTATTGCACTCATTTGGATTGGAGCATGGAGGGCTGAGATAACCTGGATCTAATTTTGATCAGCGTTAGCGGACGTATTTTTGCTTCACCATTACACCACTCTCTTTATTACGAACTGGAAAAGTGTCTATTTCATATAAACCCTCCTTGCAGTTGGTCCAGCGAATAGGGATTCAATCATATTTTTATCGTAGTAGCAACGAAAGGTATGAAATTAAGTGGGATAGTTTTATTTTTTAATTCATAAATGCTGAGAGAGTGCTATTCAAAACATAGCAGACTCGTTTTCAAAACTCAATTTGATGCACTGTTTTTATAAATCTTGCCGTTTAGGCAAAACGTACTTTCGTTAAAAACTTCGAACCGGATCGATTGATAATTATCAATATCATTTCTTTGATTTGACGTGAAATTCGAATTTGACATTTTCCAGGTACTCTTTAAAACCTGATTGTGTCAAGCAAAATTAATGATTTTTTCATCCACGAATTTCTCTCTATAAATTGTAGAAATCCAGTAGAGTTTTAAATCATTTCTTGAGTATCTTTATGGTTTCAAAAGGATTTTGAAAAAGCCGGGTGAAAGTCGGTATCAAGCTTTGAAAAAGTACACAAACATCTTTCTAATTGTCACACGGGGTAAATGAAATATGCTTTAGATAACAAACACTGCTTGAACGACATCAATCCCCAATCTTACTTCGGTCTTATTTATAACAAAACTTTCCCTACTCAGTAAGGTGCCTCCAATTTTTTCTTGAAGCACAAAGGTTAAATTTCAAATATATGACTGGAATTTTTTTAATAAGAAAAAGACTGATCACATTTAATTGAGAAATTACCTTTTCGTCAGTGGGTCAGTGAGATAATCTGGGTTCGAATTATTATTTAAAAAATTTTTTGGCACTTCTTGATTGATGATATTCTAAAAGATCTAAGAGCAGTTAGAAAATTAATCAGAAAAAACAAATTGAATATTCATCTTGAAAAATAACACTGTAAACAAATTGCTGACGGGTAATTACAATGATCTGACGAAGCTCACAGTATTAATGCTTTCACAAAGATATCCATTTTCTTTTGCAGAAAATGGTTTCGATGAAAACCATTCAAGCTTGTTGTATTATTCATGGAAATGTTGGATTGGATTAGAGCACGAGTCACAGTGGACAAGCCTGGTGATGCCTTGGGGAAGGCTTATTGACATGCAATTAGTAAATGAATTGAAACCCCCTCAGGCGGTTGCCTACTTTGTGTATCTACAAACTTCACCTCGGTTACCGAGGAAAGTCTCTCCACAGTCAAAACATATTTGTTTCGAGAGAGTCAGTTCCCCTCGAAACCGTACTTGCATCTCATACCTCACGGTTTTACAAATTTTCGTTAAAGCCTAGTTTCCACTAGCGACATAATGATCATAATCATAATCATAAGCACGAACATAAACATACGCTTCTTATGTTCTAGTGAGAACGGTTTTCAACTGCACTCGCAAGCTTTTCCTCGAATCTGGCCGCCATCTTGAAACGAACCGACCCGAAAGTACTAGACCTAGACTTTAATTGGCCAAAACACAATGATCCCGTTGCGTCATTATGTTTCTCATTATGTCGTTATGATTTTCGCGTTCCCACTACAAAGAATAGCAACATAGTCATAGTCAGAGACATAATCATAATCATAAGAAAATGGTCGATCATTTTCTTATGATTATGATTATGAGATACAATGAAAATCAGGCCTGCTCCCAGTTGGCTTGTTAGCTCAATTGGTAGAGCGCTGCACTAGTATCGCAGAGGTCAGTGGTTCGAATCCCGTACAGGCCTGATTTTTTTCAGGTCTGATTTTCTCTATTGCTTAAATAGCGCTATCTACTGCGAGGATCGTGCATCATATGATTATGATTATGTTGATCGTAAGGGCGCCTATGATTATGTTTCTGGACGTTCCCACTAAGACATAAGCGACATAACAGCGTTATGTTCATGCTTATGATTATGATTATGATCATTATGTCGCTAGTGGGAACTAGGCTTAAGGAAACGTTAAGTTGGTATTTCGTCGATGTTTAACTGAGCGATTGACTTTACTTCAAATGTAAGCTTGACAGGGAAACTTAATATACACATATAATATAAGATATTTTTTTAAATTTCAGTCCTAGTTATGTATCAGAGAAGGGAATATTCTGCTTCAAGAAAGCGGCAAAGAAATTTCCATTTCTATTTCCATTACTTTTTAACCCTTTACGCCTTTACGCCTTTACGTTAGTAGTTTTACTACACATAACACGAGAAGTTTATTCCATGTAGCTCATTTGCAGAAATCTATACGCTTTATTTTCACATGTGAAAAAAGCTTATACAGCCAATCAGAATGGCGTACAGCTCTTTCACGTGTCGAAGTATAACCAATCGAATTGCTCGAAAGAATTACACGGGCGCTCGCTTGCTCGTGCTCGCAAAATTTTTGCAACTGGTCGCATGCTCGTATTCTCAATTTAAAAGTGCTCGCAAAATTTGGCCCTTGCTCGAATTGCTTTATTGATATCGTACTTAGATTTAGAAAAAAAAAACTTTTGTGAGTGCACTTTTCCGTTCAGCACTTAATTTCCTTGATGTACATGTACTGCGATATTTTCCATTGCCATTAAATTTGCATTGTTAGTGAGTTTTTGTTTCTAATTTGCGTTCAGAGAATTATTTCAATGAAAATTCTCGTGTTATGTGCAATAAACAGCTCACGACGTAGAAAGTGCTTTGTACGGCGTTTTATTCACGCATTGTTTGTGTCAAAAGCCCTCACTCACTCGTACCTCGCTCGTTCGGGTTTTTGACACAAACAACTCGTAAATAAAACCCCGTGCGCCGCACTTTCTAAACTGTTGTGTTTACTTTTCCTGTGGCAAAGAGACTTTGTGTGACGATCGGGAGCTTCTTCAAACTGAGCCGATCATTCCTTTATTCTCATGACTTTCGCATTTGATTCGAGGGGGGGGGGGGAGTTCTGTAAGGATAAATCAGACGCCAGTCACTCCTAAAGGTTGACCATGTAAACAGACCAGAGAAAGGTAAAATAAAAGCTTCAGCTATAAAGTTCTGAAAAGCTTGTAAGGAGAACAAGAAGCTGACGAATCAAAAAGCTCAGCTAAAGTTTGCGATACCTCTTCACTTTTTCAGCGTTCGTCAATCATGGCAGTTCAGCTTTACCTCGCTGGATTATTGCTCCTCTTCGTTACAGGTAATGCAAATATCGATAAATGCCAAAGTCAGAGATAATTTATTGTTCCTGCAAACTGCAAAGATCCGTTTAGAATACTTGAAAATAATTAAGCCAACTGACTCCGTGAGGCTTTATTTGGAACCGAGACGAAGCGTATTATGACTTTAAATTTTTTTTCTTCCATTTCATATAGTTTTAAACAGCTTTAAAGCGATTTCATCGTATAGCATAGTCGTTTGGTACCTGAACAGATATGACTCCTCAGAAGAGCCCAATATGTATTTAGTTCAAATGGTTTAAACCATACCCTACAAATACATCTGTAATAATTGAGTTCATTTCTACCTTATTATAGATTCTGATTGGTTTAAAGCATTCTGCTGTTTTTACTAACACTGTTTTTCCTATCGTGCTAAACTCCATTTCATAATTTTTTTTTTTATTTCTTCTTCCTTTCTTTTTGCAGTAAAAGGAGATGCTGAAGGTAGCTTTTAGCTTACAAAATAGTACGACTGGTCTAATGCAGCCTAACATTGGTAATAGGGGAGCATTACACTGCAAATACTTATGGGATGGGAAAACATCAAGTGATTCCTTTCAGATTCTGTCGTTTTTGTTGCCACGTATTTTACATTTAATTTTTTTCTACTCGCCAGCGCGATAATACAATACGAACTGATCCAGACTTACCAAGAAATAGTTTATTCCAACTACCGCTTTAAGAACTCCCTGATCTTAAAAAAATGATTTCAAAATCAAATTTCTTCGACGAGCTTCAATTTAAGATGGCCCAAGAACATCAGAATATGTTTAAAAAGTCCCTTTAGGTCAGTTAGTTTAACAGCATTGAAACGTTATTGAACGTCGTGCAATATCACCAAAAACTTCCGAACAAAGACACATCACAAAAAAGAAAAAATAATTAGTACCTCGCAAATTTTGGCTAGTTTATATTGGACGTTTGTACTTTGCACGTTAGGAAGCCTTTTCAATTTTAGGTGTTTGTTGTTAGTTAGTTTTTGTTGTTGTTGTTGTTTTTTTTATTTACACGTGTAGGTGCTGCTCTAGATGGCGGTTATTCTAATTGGAGTGAGTTTTCTGAGTGCAGTGCCACTTGTGGAGATGGTTTGAGGATTCGAAAGCGATCGTGCAATAATCCAGAACCTAAAAACGGAGGGAAAGACTGTGAGAGCCTAGGACCAGACACAGACACAAAAGCTTGTAACTCATTTCCATGTCGTGAGTGTGTTCATTTTTTATCAAAATCTTAATAAAAGTATCCATGTTGGCAAATTGGGTCTGGGATTAACGAGAAAGGAATTGAATTTGGAATAATTGTTAAATTGGGTTCTACGGCCGTTTTTTCTGCTTCACTGTAGCACTTAACACGTACTGTACATTTTAGCCGTTAACGGCGGCTATTCTCAGTGGTCGAACTTCACAGAGTGTAGTATCAGTTGTGGAGGAGGTGGAATCCAGAGTCGCTCAAGGCAATGCAACAACCCCTTGCCTTGCTGTGGTGGAATGAACTGTGGACACCTGGGACCGAGTACAGAGACAAGGGCTTGTGGCGAATGCGCTTGTGGTAAACAATGATCTTCTTTAGTTGGTCATTTCCAGAAAACAACGACGACAAATAATAACTCGACAGAGACGATGACGACTGACCTTTGACCCTGACGTTTCAAGATGGATAACGATCGCATAAAAATGATAATGACGTTGATGACAAAGACAAGGATGACGATGACGAAGGCGATCTGAAAAGCTGCACACCCTCCCCTCCCATAACCCGACAGCAGTCAACTGATGGCAAGTTAGGGTTGATCTTGCGTTAGGGGAGGAGTAGGTGCGCAGTTGTTCAGATACTTAGATTGATCCAAGCGATCGATGACGATGACTTTGACAGTTACAATGAAGACGTTGGAGGTGTACGACGACAAACACGAATACTTGTGTCAAGGACAACGATTGTACGGATGCCGATGAAATGAATGATTGCTGCATTTATCGGCTTTAGATATTGATGGTGGGTGGAGTGAGTGGTGTGCCTTTACACGCTGCACCGTTTCCTGCGGTGGCGGGGTGAGAATCCGAAACAAAACCTGTACCAATCCTACTCCGTCAGGCCTTGGTCTCGATTGTACCGGCCCAGCTGCCGAATTACAGATTTGTAATACTGAGTCATGCCGTAAGTGTCAGGGGAATAAATGGCCGGTTATTTAATCAAATTTTAGCCGTTGTTTAACAAAACCGCATTCTTAACTGCCTTGAATCATGCTTGAATTTAGCTAAATCTTTAACCTAAAGAGCGTCAAGAGGGTCGAAAGTTAGCTGTGGAAGGTCATTTATTTAACGAAAACAACCCTCCTATAGAGAATACATAAGGACCACTGCTTGCGTAAAACCGCGGTTTGGGTTAACCTCGTCTAACGGGCTAAAGTGTTTAATTGTGAAGACCAGTTTGGTTGCGATTCTGCCATTTTTTGTTCGGTACTTCCCGTTGTAATTAGTTCATCTCTGAAATTTGATTTAACGTATATCAAGAAGCTTTCAACCATTTACTAATTCAGTTTCAACACGCTCAAATCCAGATTATTCATTGGACGTTAGTCTTTTTCTAACCACAAAATGGGAAAAATTTTCTGCAATTTCCTGTGTGATCCATCTGTTAGTCCTTCCTTAAGATCTGTTGGAAGACAGACGCATAGTTGACGTCACCATTTACAACATTTTGCTTTTTATCCTACAAAGCAAATAGATTCCATATGTTGTCGTGCGTCTGTTAAGAAATAAGGGGCTTAATTAATTAAGAATCAACGACGGCGACGCCGTGGACAACGTTGGCAAGAAATGATCGCGATACTCTATAGTAATTTAATTTGTTTCTGAATGTCAAAACTATCTCGAAACTGAATATGGAACACAACGTTAAAAAAGAAATAGAAATTTAAAACTTATCCGTCGTCGCCCACAGCGCAAAGTTTGGTCATTTCATGTTGTTGTGTTTTACAGAGAACATAAAGAAATTTACAAAGATTTATAACGCACGTGCACAGCCATTGTTTTGCTCATTAAACAATGGCTGTCGTTGCCTTGTATCTCCCTGATTTTGATCACAGATGAAGTCAAATTGTGGTAAAGCGTCAGTAACACAGTCGGCTGCATCTCATGTGACACTTTTTTTCTCACCACATTTTTCCCGTATCTGTGATCTAGATTTAAACTGCTGAACAGACACGCGTCAATATTGAACCTATTTGTTAATTAATTATTCGCTTTCCTTTAAAAATCCAAGATAATGCTAATTACACCCAGTGGACCGGGTGGTCCGAATGCAGCGTCACGTGCGGTGTTGGAGAACAAAAACGCTCAAGAACTTGCACCAATCCCCCTCCTCAGCCAGGCAGGAAAAACTGTGAGGAAGAACACTTGGGACCCGCTGACGAGACTCAAAAATGCAGACTGAAGCCATGTCGTAAGTTAATCCTTACAAGATAGAATATAAACTTGGAGGGTGCATCTCCCATTTGTATTCCATAAAATGGCGTTTCCGCAAGCAGAATTACCTTTAGCTTAAAATTTTCCATGTGTTGAGTCAGAATACAGCTGTGACGTTTGGAGAAAGGTGATCCGGGTATTCGGTAATCAATTTTAAATTCGTCAAGCCCATGAGTTACGTTTTCTCAGATTTTCCTGAAATCCTGAGATTAAGGGACCATCACCTGAAAACTACCCATACTACCCTGCGAGGTTGTCGCGTGCACATAAACAAGAGATTAGAAATAATGACGAGTCCTTTACAGCGCAATGAGGCCACTAGAACTCTTAGTTTGTTAGATTGCGTTCTTAGCAGAGATTCGTGTCCTATCTAGCAATCGACGGTAACTATACAGAATGGACGGAGTGGTCTGTATGCAGTGCGAGTTGCGGAGGAGGCTCCCAGCTGCGAACAAGACAGTGCACCAGGCCCCTTCCAAAATACGGTGGAGTTGATTGTGATGAACTGGGACCAGCTAATCAGACGCAAGAGTGTAACCCAGACCCTTGCCGTGAGTTTCCGTACAATTCTTATCCGTATCGATGACTTTGAAAAAAGCGTGTGACAGTTTGACCTCCACTTGTGAACTGTTGCAAGGTTTTACTTTCTGTAATTACTTCAGTTAAATGTTTGGATACTGCGTGCTATAATATGAACTATTGATTGGCTCGAGCACCGAGAATTTAAAACTCACATAGGGTAAAAATTCACGGGGGAGTCTACAGATTACCAAGGTTAAAGGTATTCGGATCTGGTCATTTCTCATTGACGGAGGAAATCTGATCTTACTGTGGTGACTATCGGCCATGGACCGAACTGACAAAATAAATCTCGAGGCCAGTATATATATATATCTTATTAGACGTTTTGTTGTGTAGTATCGCTGAGTATTTTTACGAGTTGTGCCGTATTTTGACGAGCCCGTATTTTGACGAGCCCGTAGGACGAGTCAAAATGCAAATAACGAGTAAAAATACTCAGCGATACTACACAACAAAACGTCTAATAAGTTATTTATTATCCAACACGCCAAACTGTTATTTCAGTGCGGGCGAATTTCGCGGATATTTATTTACGGGGAGTGCGTGAAAGAAGTATGCGAGACGGAACGGAATTGGCGCGTTGTTGTGTTGCTGTTTCTATTTTCTTCATTAAATGAAGAAATTTTCTGGTCGTCAAGCTGTTTTTCTTCGTTCGATTCATCTAATGAACTTGGATCTATATTTGCCAGCCATTCTGACTCTTCGTCGTCGGAAATATGATTCAAATTGTCCGCCATTTGTTTTTTTTTTGTTTTTTTCGTAACTACAATCCAATTCTTCGCTTGCGCGATGCGAGAAAACCTGTTTAACCGGTACTCTACAATAGACGAGTACAAATACCGCGTGATATTTGTACTCGTCTATGGCGTTATTTGTACTCGTCTAGGTGTAGTTGGATAATAATTTCTGATATTGTTATTTTGTAATTAGCTATTGACGGTAACTATACCGAATGGTCTGAATGGTCTGAATGTGATGTCAACTGTGGGGGAGGAGTGCAGAGCCGTTCAAGAACTTGCACCAATCCCTCACCGAAAAACGGTGGAAACAATTGCGAAGGGCTGGGACCAACTAATGACACACAAGCGTGTAATCCAGACCCCTGCTGTAAGTACATAATTATAATTCCTTGAAGAGACTAAATAAAATTAAGCCAGTGGAAAAGAAGAGGAAGGTTAATTTTTACAGGAGCTGCTTTTTTGAGAATTTTCCCTGATGATATACTGAAATTCTCGGGCACATTTCACAGGCTTATTTATGAAAGATACGTTTTAGATTATGTTGGTGCACCTTTGAAAAAAATCTAGCTAACAAGATCAATGAACATAGAATAGTTCATAGAAACTAAGGAACAAGACTGAAGCAATTTTTTTCGCTATTGCTTGTGTTGTTATGCGATTAAATTATCACCTTATTGTAAGTTAAATTCAATCAATATCAGCTTCACGGATGTACCCACATCAGTAAAAAGTGTCCATTCTCTTTTTCTTCCGGTAGCAATCGATGGTAATTATACCGAGTGGTCTGAGTGGCCTGAGTGTAGTGCTACGTGCGGTGGAGGCTTACAAAATCGAACGAGAAACTGCACCAATCCTCCTCCGCAATACGGAGGAAAAGAGTGCGAAGGCCTGGGCCCTGCTGTCGAGACACAATCATGCGGCTCGGAAAAATGCCGTAAGTACTTATCTGTGTACAAGTTTTTCTCTTGATTGATTTACTCTTAAGGTGCTTGTACGGATATAGTTTATATCTTACCTGACAAAGATTAGGAAAGTAACAGCTGAAACGTCATTAGGATGAACGATTTTTGATGGTGACCCCATACCACGTTTATGTATCTATTTAACCGCGAGGAAAGATATGAGATCTTTTATTCAGTGTATTCTTTCTGCTTAAAATAGTCAGTAAGGGAACAGTCATGATTCGTCACGAAGGGGGGGGAGAGGCGTTGAGGATTTTGGTTGTGTCACGATAAAATTTACGTGACCCCCTTATTAGGCTCTGTAATATCGTTATGATCCCCCCCCGGTTAGCAGCTAATAGGCAGTCAGTTTTCTACAGTCCCCCTTTATACACAACAACCGATCCCCCTCCCTTCTCCCCTGAAAACCGTGTGATCTCCCCCAGAATCCTCCACCTCCTTTCCACCTCCCCCCCGGCGATAAAAATAGACTGGTCTCTAAGAATTGGATTTTTTTTGCTCAGCAATGGATGGTAACTACACCAAATGGTCGGACTGGTCAAAATGTAGCGTCACTTGTGGAGGAGGGGAACAGAGCCGCTCAAGAACCTGTACCAATCCCCCTCCAAAGTACGGTGGAAAGAATTGCCAGGGTTTGGGATCAGCCAATGACACTCAGGAGTGTAACCCAGACCCCTGCCGTGAGTAGTTAGAGCGTCTTTTCATTTTACAAACAGCGATCTTTTCAGTGAAGATGATAACGAGCTTTAATTTAAACAGCTAAGTATGGAATTGTTTCAACGTTTTGTTGAAGGGCGTTTGAAACCCCTTCTCAAGATATCTGCTTTGGATGAATTCTTTTGCCTTGTGACGAAACTTTCGTATCGTAAATATGTATCACTATGATCAGCAATACTTGAATAGTTAACCAATTGACGGATGGGACTACAACAACGTTTTTACCAGTCATTATAGATCTCAAGTGAATTCTGTTTCATACGATCATTGTCTGTATCTAAGAAACTGCATCTCTACCCCTCATCTGACACAACATTAACCCTGATTTTTCATTGATCCTGTTTAATTCTGGGTAGCGATTGATGGTAATTATACCGAGTGGTCTGAGTGGTCCGTGTGCAGTACTACGTGCGGTGGAGGTTTTCAAACACGAACGAGAAACTGTACCAATCCTCCTCCACAAAACGACGGAAGAGATTGTGAAGGCCTGGGCCTAGCAACAGAGACAAAGTCATGCGGCTCGGAAAAATGTCGTAAGTACTCAGTTGCTCTCGTTTGTGTGTGTTTTGTTTGTCTGTTTGTCGGTGTTTTACAACCTCACGGTAAGCTCGATTGGTTAGAGCGTCGGACTGTTGAGCGAAGGGTCGAGGGTTCAAGCCCAAGCCGGACCAACACTCAAGGTCTTAATATAACTGAGGAGAATGTGCTACCTTTCTATAATATCAAGAAATGGATAGACATTCTAGTCTACTCGGATAAGAACGAATAAACCGTAGGTCCCGTCTCCTGCATCTATAAATTAGTTAACTTGGTTAGGCAGGGAACGTTAAAAAACCCACTCACGAGATTACTGTGATGTGGTCTGCCCTGTTTACTGGAAATTGGGGGCGTCTGTTAGATTTGCCTTCATTCATTGTAAACTGCTACAAGCAGTCAGGTAAAGTCCCCCGCACAGTGTCGTAAGAATGGCCCTGAAAAGCCCTAAGGGGAGTAGTCAGTTAACCCATGTAATGTAATATGTTTGGTTGTTTGTTGAAGTTTTAGTTGGTTGGTGGATTGGTTTTTGCCGTAGTTTATTTGTATGCATTATCATTGACATAATTAAATACTGAAGATACCATCTGTCCCCTAGAACCAGAGAATGGTTGCAAATCATGTTTACTTTCCTTTAATAGCCACTGATACTGGACATTTTTTTTTTCAGCTACTGACGGCAATTACACGACTTGGTCAGACTGGTCAGAATGTAGCACCACTTGTGGAGAAGGGAAACAAAGTCGTTCAAGAACTTGCACCAGCCCCCCTCCAAAACATAGTGGGAAGAATTGCTCCGAATTAGGCGCGGCCGATGACACGCAAATGTGTAACCCAGGCCCCTGCCGTAAGTTTGTTGAGAATTTCGACCTAATGGCTCCGTAACACATATTTCTTAGTCTCAAAATGACTGCAATTCAATTTTCGATCAATTTAATCAATTTTTTATCAATTTTTTAATCAATTTTTTACACCCAATTGCAATTTCATGACAAAAGTTTTGATAAAGTTTTCAGTACTTTTATCTCACTTTACAAAGGGAAATCTTACGTTGATCTCCACAAAAAGGGTGCAAAAGGTTGTTAACAAGATAATTTCATCTTCCATAGCAATCGACGGCAACTATTCGCAGTGGACAGAGTGGTCTGACTGTGACGTCACATGCGGAAGAGGTGTCCAGAATCGATCAAGAAGCTGCACCAGCCCACCTCCACAGTACGACGGAAAAAGCTGCGAGGGTCTGGGACCAGCTAATGAAACGAAAGAATGCAATAAGAACCCGTGTCGTAAGTGTATTTTGACAAATCCAGACAAGTTGTATGTACAATGTGTTTTGCATGACTCACATGGCGCAGTCATTCGTTGGACTTGACCAATCTCAGGATAGCAAAGTGGTCAGGGAAAGACCATGCTTATCGTTTTTGGGAAAGGAGAACACAAATTTTATAGACAAACCCTCCAATCACGCCTCATTTGCAAATCTTAATTTCTCAAGCAAGAGATAGCTATTATTTTTGAAAAGGGAAAACTACCCTAATTTTTTCTTTTTTTGTTTTTTTCGGACGATGGGTCAACGCCCGAAACAACAGTTACGGTGACCAATGTACATTATGAACTCAGTTGATAAAACCAATTTATATTGCTCTAATATTTATTCATTTACACTTATTTGATTCGACAATACGCTTAATTAGTACTTTTATTCGAAGCAATTGATGGAGATTACACGGAATGGTCAAAATGGTCCAAATGTTCGGTAACTTGTGGTAGAGGATCAAAAACTCGAACAAGAGAATGCACCAATCCCCCTCCACAGTACGGTGGAAAGGACTGCAGCGATTTGGGTCCTGTAAACGATACTCAAGGATGTAACACAACCGCATGTCGTAAGTCCTGTTGAAAAGCAGTGACAATATGTTGGCATATTCGATTTTAAAATGTTCATGATTATACTTTTTATTGTATATATTTTATAATACAAACAAGAAGTACACCGCTGTGTTGTCTGACTGTGGTACTGACAGAACGATTTGTTGATTAATTGACCGTCTGAATGACTTATCGACTGACTGTTGAACTGAAAGGTAAACTCATCGACTAACCAAAGAATAAAGGGGGTGAGTTTCTATAGAAACTGTAGTGCTTCTGAAGCTGGCTTTCAAACGTTAGCCCTTCGTCATAGAAAATACAGGAATTGCAAGTTGTGTACTACGCTATCGGTTGGAACATGGTAACGAGAAAAACAAGAACTCGTTCATTTATATCGTGGAGATATGAAGAGTGCCGGTTTTAAAAATCAATTTTTGATCCAGAGTTTTGCGGTTTTCCGAATGGTCTAGAAGTAGTGAAAGGACGCAGTCCACCACATCCTGAAAAAGATGATTTGGGAGATTAAAGTATCGGAAGTCCACCAGTAGCGTTGCTCCATTTTTTGCGTATTAAATGCACACAACCCACAATTCCCCAATTCGCTCTGGCTTTAGAAACTCTTTAAGGCGGCCAATTTACATTATCAAGTTAGTTGATAAAACCAATGCATCTCTTTAACGTACTAAAACCAAATCATCTCTTTAACGTACTAACCAACTGGCTGACTTACCAACTTACGTTACGTTACGTTATACGAGTAGACTGAATCTCTCTCTGAGTTGCTGATCCGTGGCTCACTGACAGAATGCCAGAAAGACAGAGATACAGTCAGACCTGACTCACTATCCACCCTATTGAATGATTGATTCACTAACCCACGCGCTGAGTCGCAGACCTACAGACGCTCTGACTGACCCACAAGTGAGTAGCTAAAAATGCCTCTTGTTTTTTGAAAGCTCCACCCTGCTCGGCTGGTCTTGATGTTGCTATTGTGTTGGACAAATCCAAAAGTGTCAAGATCGCCAATCTTCATAAAGTAATCGACTCACTGGTTGAACTGGTGGACAAGTTTGAGCCGGCTCCAGACAAAGATCATTTTGGTTTAATCACGTTCAATAGCAAAGCCCACGTCGAGTTCACGTTTGCCGACGAAGCTCGTTTCAGCAAGCAGCAACTCATGGAAAAAATCAAAGAAATTCCGCGAACATTAGAGTTTCAGACGCGCACCGATCTGGCCATGAAAGCAGCCAGAGATCAGCTGTTCTCACCAAGTGGAGGAAACAGACCAGAAAAGCCAAATGTCATGATTGTATTTACGGATGGAAAACCTACCAAACAACCCAGAAATTTCAAGATTTTCACAACTGAGTTTTACCAGGACCCCAAGGTATAATTTGTACTCCTGTATTATGATAGATCGTGTGACTTGAGCCTGCAAACTGCCTGCGGTGCGGGAAAACGTAGGAGACCAGATCTGATTGAAGTTTGTTTCAGACTGTCATCTGATCGGTCGAAAGAATGGTGCAGTTTATCCAGACCAATCATAGTGTGCTGTTAAGTCAGGGACGAAAGGTATCACAATTATTTATGTTTTTTTCGTCATTTTCTTAAATCTTCAGGTTGCTGATCTGTACACTGTCGCAGTGGGTATCGGGAATGGCATCAACATAGAAACCCTACATGATATAGCCGGTCCTAATGGAAATGTGATCGCTGTAGAAAGCTTTGATCGGTTAGAAGCGGAACTGAGTGAGATCAAGGACAAAGTCTGTGGTAGGTTTCGTGTTAAAGCCCGGGGTAAAATTCTCCAACGAAATTTTCATTAGGGATGATACACCTCACAATCTAAGCCCTTATTTATGTGTACAAAACTAACGCTGGTGCAAATGAAACACTTTCCCCACTCTTCCCCTATAAACGCAACATAAGCACAACATACCCACGATAATCCAATGCACTCTTAAGCTACATGCAGTGGCCAAGATAAAATGTAACAAAGTTAGGAGGACGTAGCTGGACAAACTACGCTGAGGTGGTGGCACTAAATTTCTTGAATCTTGACAGCTTCTCATTAAATATACTTCTTCTTCGCTGGGAAATTTCTACAGCATCTACTAATAATGCTACAAAACTATATGAGTATTTATTAAGAACTAAAATTTTTTTGAATCGTTTCTGGGATTTTCCAAGGTTAAAATATCTTTAAAACCGAGGTTTCGACCAGTTTTACTGGTCTTCCTCAATTTGTTTAAATCGCTCATCCTCGGTGTAAAAACCTGTGAAGCTTACGAGTGACGTAAAACAAAGAAAACAAAACATTATAAACAATAGCGTACAGCAAAACAATACCTCAAGCCTGGAAGAAAGGTAAAAGAGATTAAACGCACATGTCAAGAGCCGCTTGGTGAAAAGCAAAAATGTGTTGTGTATAGGATTCCTTGCAACTGCCAGAATACTGTGTATGTAGGAGAAACATGGCACCCCTTCCAAACAAGAAAGAAAGAACACATGGACAAAGTGAGACTAACAAATGAGAACCTTCATAAAGGAAACACTCTATCGGCCAAAAAACGGATGGGTAAAGAAGATGGAGGCCTGGCACGACACACCGTGGAGTGCTTAAGTGATGTTGACTGGGGAAACGCAGAGATAGTAACAACAGAGAGAGGATTAAAGCAAAGAAAAGTTCTAGAGGGAATTGAATCACTACGACAGAAAAATCGCAGAATGAGAGTCCTTAACAATTTTGACCACGTTGAAACATGGAAACCAGTCCTAAACTCCTTCTTTGGTCATGAAAAAAGACTGTAATAGATGGTGAATTATCGCAAAAGTAGAAGTACTTGACAGACCACAGACTACATTTCCCGCGCAATCTGACATCGTTTAAACGTTATGTAATAATTACGAAACGTCATGTGCGGCCACCAAGCTGAAAGACTAAACAATCCGCCATATTGACAACATGTGCGGTCACCAAGCAGAAAGACTAAACAATCCGCCATATTGACAACATTTAAACAGCCTGAGGAAGACTAGTAAAACTGGTCGAAACGTCGGTTTTAAAGATATTTTAACCTCGGAAAATCCCAGAAACGATTCAAAAAAATTTAGTTTTTACAAAAGTGAGAGGTGAAAGTTTCAGGAATACGATTTATTACGAACTTAACCGGCAAAAACCAACTAGAATTTAAAATACACAAAACCTGCAAAGAAATCCTTCTTCTGAAGGCATTGCCCATGGTAAACACTTTTACATTTTATTCCCCACCAAAGATGCCAGGTTATCCGAGAAAAAGGACAATTCTTCTATCCACGTAAAAAATTGCTTTAAAAAAATATAATTTAAAAATAGCGAAAAGCAGTTGGCATGGTGTGGTATAGAATAGGCCATTTTACAGTTGTGTACTTAGTTGCCAAGCCTTTGATTCAGAGTGAGGCTGAAGGTGACCTTGTTGTGATAGAGACCTGTATCTACTTAGCATGATAACAAAGTGATGTACATTTGAAAGGCAGCAAGGTTTGTATCATAACAAGGTCAACCCTGATACGATGAATATATGAAGTTCATATATTTTGAACTGCGGTTATAGATACGTATGATGCACGATCCTCGCAGTAGAGAGCGCTATTTATGCAATAGCGAAAATCAGATCTGAAAAAAATTCGTAATAAACCCATTGTTAGCTCAATTGGTAGAGCGCTGCACTAGTATCGCAGAGGTCAGTGGTTCGAATCCCGTACAGGCCTGATTTTTTTCAGGTCTGATTTTCGCTATTGCTTAAATAGCGCTATCTACTGCGAGGATCGTGCATCATACGTATCTAATACCGCAGTTCAAAATATATGAACTTCATATATTTCATTGTATCTGATTTATCACTTTCACGGGTTTATTACGAATCAACTTAACGGCCTGCTCCCAGTTGGCTTGTTAGCTCAATTGGTAGAGCGCTGCACTAGTATCGCAGAGGTCAGTGGTTCGAATCCCGTACAGGCCTGATTTTTTTCAGGTCTGATTTTCGCTATTGCTTAAATAGCGCTATCTACTGCGAGGATCGTGCATCATACGTATCTAATACCGCAGTTCAAAATATATGAACTTCATATATTTCATTGTACCC